GTGAGCAGTAGCTCAATAAGAGTGAGAAAAAAGAAGGGAGTTCAATAGTCAAGTGCATTGACATATAAGACTGGTGGCGTTTCACATACTTCTAGAAGGAATTAGAAGATAGTACTGGTTTTTAATATGGGTATCATGAAAAAAAGGATAGGAAATTGGTTCTTAATGGTCTGTGTTGAAGAACAGGGATAAAGTGGGAGGTCTGGGGATGTAAACACTCAGGAAACTTCACAGTACTGCACAGGTGAGAGAACTGTACCCTGAGACATCTGGATGTGTGAAGTAAGAGGAAGAATTGGGAGAGGTTCCAAAATTCGCCAGCTTTACATTAAACAAAGATATACATTAGACAGACTCAAGGAAGAAAGTGGAAAGAAACAGGGGTTTTATAAGACAACATAATGAATTCTTGTTATATTTTTAAATGTATTATACTGTTATCCCACCTAAATAATTTTCTTGAAAGGAAGGACCTTTCAGATGTACACTTGTTAATGGGAATTTATTAGTTTTCAGTGGGGAGGGCACATTCTCGTAATACTGCTTGGTGGGTGCAAGAAATACAGATATAGTATAGATATATCTTGAATGCTAAGATCAAACTGGCTAGATTTAGAATTGATGAAATCAAACATAAAAATTAGTTTTTTTCAAGGAGTATGTATAAAAAAGTACATGAATGTATAAGAACATATCCCCACTCTCAGCATTCAGCTAAAAGTTGCTCTTCAAAAAATAAAAGTGTCATTGTTATAAATTTAACTAACTATTGCAATGGTGGTGATTTTAGTTTTTCTTGCACATTAGTAAACATTTTCAGGAGATCACGGAGTCATTCCTCCAAACCTTCTCATTGTTTCCCCAAGATTAAACTGTAACAGAGTAAAGTACATCTGTAAGGAATGAACAAAAAATAATTTGTATCTCTTATATCATTTTAAAGTAAGTATATGTCCCATAAGGGAATTTTCAGACTGCTCACACAATACGTATGTACACTGCTCTAAGTGAAATCAAATCAGTATTCTAAAACGCTGCCAAGACGCAGGTCAGGATACTTGGAAGACTCCTAAGATTTAAAGTGTATGACACTTTACAATCATTATTTTACAAACACACACACATTTCTCTCCATATACAGAGAATAAAAATAAACTAAGTATGTTACATGATTTAAACACTGCTTTGTATTTTCTAATAAAAGATTTGTCATGCATAACCAGAGATGATATTCACTACTTCACAGAGATATCAAAACAAAACAAGCCAAAAACACCACTCCACCGTTAACAAGTGTGAGTATAGAATAAAAATTTTAAATTAGAGGCTTACTATTTGCAGACCAGCAGTGCCCAAACATTTCAATCTTTCAAAATTCTCTGACCCTTTGTAGGAAGGGGAAAGTGTATACCATCTAGAAACAGTGATCTATAAAGAAGGATTATAATTAAATGCAGTGGTTCAATAACGTCAAAAACGCACCAGCACTCTCTTCCACAAGAGGTCTATAGACTAAAAAGTGAGAAGTAGATGAAGTATTCATGATACACTAAATAGTGAAAAGTATTTTTGAAAAATAGGAATATTTATAATCAAAACATGGGCTAAAAAGGTAATGTCTGTTTGTCTCGTTATAGAAATCCTTGCAAATACTCTACTCACACTTCTATTTTGTTCTTTCTAAATAGAACCTCACATTCAATGTACATCACAGTAACAAACTGGGTGACAATTCCGAGAAAACGGAGAAATGCCTGATCACAAATTTTAACCTTGATGTTGCCATCCTAATTTAAAAGCTGGATCTTCTTGAGCTACAATTAATGAGCCCTGGAACCAAAATCATTTGACCTTACAAGTTCACTTCAAAAATCCTTATTTCATGGTTTTCACATTTCTTAGTATTTGCTTTAATACAAAATGCATGACAGACTTGATTCAGTAGTTTTCATGTGCTATTTCTAAAAAAAGGTAAACATTTTTGAATTAAGGATATGGACAAATACCAATTCAGGTTAGGCTGCTGGAAGGTTAAACTATTTCTTTCATGCTGACACAAGGTGTCATTTTATAAGTCACGGTAATGCTCAATAAAACAAAAATAAGATTTTAAAAAGCTAGGAAGTAAAAGAGTCCGAATTGGCAATTGTGTAGAGGGAAAACAGGATTACAGTTATTGGTTACTATATCAACTTAACTTCTCATAAAATCCTCCTGATCTGTTAAATAACTTCAGAACTGAAGTATGCTCCCCTATGGGAGTTGTAAAACAAATTAGATACAATTACCATTCAGTACAAATAAAAAGCCAACCTATTTACCCTTAAGATGATTCTTGTTTTAAAGCCGCCTTATTTAAATTGGACGAGAATTTTCCCTAATGAATCAAGTGGGCCTCTTGACTTAATTATAGATTTTCATATTATATTTTCTATAGAGAAAAATAGTTGATATGAGTAAATTCTGGAAAACTGTGGTAACTACACCTCCCCAAAGTGAATACAACAAACATCTGTTGCAAGAACTGCTTGGCTTTCAGACAGTCCGTAAAGGGTGTTCGTTTTCCCAGTGTTTTGCGATTAAAAAAAAAAAAAGATTATTTATTAAAAAAACACGTTTCTACTATCAATTCTCAAGATGTAAAAACTTAAAAGGCTGTTGAGTTAAACACAGGTCATTACCAGGTTTATTACAGAAGGAGAACTATGCAATGTACAAGACTCTACTTGCATTCTAAAAGGGTAACAAAATAATTGGGCATGTTGCCCTCTGTCTGTGGGTTAGAAAGTAATTTTAACCATTGTCTTCCTTTCTTAACTCCATTCTCTACACAAACATTCCAACACTCAGAGCAGAGGAGAGGACTAAATATATATAACCTCCTGAGATTTTCATCCTCTGTTGGAATCCCATGGATAATTCAGCTTTCTCCTCTGGATCTTACCAGCTTCTAAATGCAACACTCTGTTATGCTCATTAGATGATAAATAAATTCTTAAAGTTTTACTGCAGGACAATTACAATTATTATTTTGTGTGTGTGTGTGTGTAATGCATTGAGCACAAAATGTAGTAATTTCAATGGGAGGAGGGCAAGAATCAATGAGCATTTATGACTCATCATCTTTTCTTCGCTGCATCAAAGAATTGTTCAGTGCTTCTGGTAAACTGAATGCATTTTCCTTGATTCTGAAAGAATAGAATTTTGCCTCAAACTCACAGCTATACTGCAAAGTAAAAATCCATCTTTTTAGCTTTTGAAAATTACAGGAAGTGCACACGTATTAGCAGGTACAAATGAATAAAAATGTTATAAGCAACAGAGCACAGGGGCATGTAATACCTTTACAAGAAGGAAAGGAGGAGGAGCAAACAGAAGGCCACGTCTGAACATATTTCAAATGACACATTAGTATGCATACTTTTAAATCTTCCACTCTCTCTGCTACGCAAACCTACTCACAACCATTTTGAGATGACTGTTTATTATAAGTTTCAGTATTTATAATTCCACTTTTACACTAACTTATTAATCAGGTATCGATCCCTAAAACATTCCTGGAAGCATTTCAACAAGGCATTGGTAACACACTATTCTGAGAAACCTCTGTCATTTAAGTCACGAGCAGAATAGAAAGCTTCCTTTTTTTTTCCTGCCAAATCCAACGTATGAGCACTCCGTTATGTTTCGACAAGCTTCAAGATCTCTAACAGAATTTGTCCACATCTTCAATTATAATCTAAAATGTTAACGTCCACATGTACAGTATGTGTTCATACAACCATAGGGATAATACCTTAAACAGTCCTCCCAATGCTCTTTGCAAATTCCATTACAAGCAAAAGTTCTGAGGAAAAGTCATTTAAAATTGATAAAAATAGAAAGTCCAGTCATACATGATCCAGGACACACAAATTTTGAATAATTTTCAAATCATTCTGTTTATTCTATATTTAAAACCTCTGTCTCTCTAAAAGATGAATCACAAAAAGATATTTGCCCATTTCTTAGGAAAGATACTACCCAACACACAAAAGGCATATTCTGAAGCAATTAATTGTTAAAAGCTTCCTTTCTTCAAGGCGACAGTCTTTAATTTCTATGGAGAATTACCCTGAGTTATCTATCTGGTTTCAAAAAAAATTAGTTTCAATTTTAAGATGTCTAAAGAAAAGTTTCTTAAATTTAAAAGAAAAAATTCAGGTATTGTACCTAACTTGAATAGTGATTTGAAGTTGTAAGGTCACTTGTATATGTATTTTATGTTTTATTATAGATGTATTACATATTATTTATGTACAAAATATTATATTGTCTATTTGTATTCTGTAATGCATACATATATTTCCCCACAATATAGCTCAGAACAATGCATTTTCAGCAAGTATCTTATAATTTAGAACACTCATAACTACCTATGATTAGGCACTATTATATCTACTTTATAGGCAGGAAAACTGGTGCTGAGAAATTAAAAGATCTACCCAAAGTCTTAAGAACAGATCAGGAAGGCACCACAAGTTCCGTACTGAAGATCTGCACATTAATGACTCTGATTTTCATTGCTTTGTTTCTACCTTTATTACTTAATATTATCTATAAGATATTTCATAAAATCTAAAAAGGAAAAAGGTGCCTGCTGACTACCTAATAATGAATGAAGCAACAAAAGACAGGCACGAATTCTATTTAGTAAGAAACCCTTGCCTTCTTTACGATTTTTCTAAGACTTAAATGAAAACTGTCTTGATATAGTACCTCTTCTACTGCTTAGTACTTTAAACTTCAAAGTAAATTATCTAAAACTATCCACTCAAAAAAAAAAAAAAAAAAAGCCTGCATTATTCCCATTTTACTGATGGGAAGACAAGCCAAGGAACAAAGCTCTTTGCAGGCATCCCACAGTAAGTGTGAAACAAGTCTGGAGTTAGAACATCTTAGGTCCTTGACTCCTCATCCTATGTTTCAGACTACTGAAACATACTACACTACTACTACTACACCCTACTACTAACACTACTACAGAGCAGTGTTACTCCTATTAATTATAATATTTCAAAGTCACTACAGGAAGCACACAATTTTCTGAAGGAGGCGGGAGAAACCTACCTTGAAAGTTACAGGTGTAAATGAATACACAGAAAGTCTTTATTTCACTGTACTTTGGTTACAATTCACTACAATTCAAATTTTAAAAATTATCCACCTATCTTATTCCTCCAGTATCCATCAATCAGAAGCTCTGCTGGGTCAGACATTGATTTTTTTTTTTTCTTTTTTGGTCCAGAACTAGACTCATGCTTTTATAAGAGAGATACATGCTAAGAAATGAAATTAAATGAGGAAGATAAAGAACAGGTCCATAGTAAAGTGTATTTGGTGGCATGGAACTTGCAAGATAAGACATCAATTTTCAGCCTGGCTGGTTACAGAATAGGACTCATTGCTTCTAGTCAACAGTGAGCATTTCAGAAGGACAAGAACATGACATCTGAGGGCAAGTGATGCATGGTGACACGCATGAGGCATTTCTTGAAAAGCTGGAGAAAAGAAAATGAACTAAGTAAGCTAGCAGGGTAAGAAATATTAAATAACTAAGCCTTCAACCTTTTAAAATAGATGAGAAAAATATTCATATAAGTCCTCTAAGTTTTGCTAAAGTTAAAAAAAAAATGATGCTTTCCAAGTGGAGAAAGGTATACAAACAATTTCTACAGACTGATAGTCTTTCTACTTTCTCAGAAAATTAGGGTTTCATGTTGAAAAACACACAACCAGCATATTTCTACTTATAGACAGGTTTTCAGATTCCAATGTGGCAGCAAAAACACAGCAAACAAGACAAAGAGTTGTCACATTCATGAGACATACCTCTTGGACTGATCGAGCAGCTGGCTTGTCTTGATGATTGGCCAATATTAAAAAGGGTAAAGTGCATAACTGTGGGTGCTGAAGAGCTGAGTGCAGTTCATTCCTAGCAGTTTCTAAATCATCTTCTGAAGAGGCACTGTCTAATACAAATATTACCCCTTGAGATCCTTGGTAGTAGCGACTCCAATATTTCCGGATATTATCAGCCCCTGTCAAAAATAAAACAATATCCTTTTAAAAATAGCTTTCGGCAACTGAAAAATACTCAACAGTCCTGCTGGTGTTCCCAACAGTAATTCCTACTGGAAACCGTCGTAGCTTTTAAAAATTAAGTGCAGAGAACATGGTTGATGAGGACAAAGGCATGAGAGCCAACAGGTGGATGTGGCCTTGAAAGAGAATACCCGTTTTTCAGTCATTCTTCATACCTTTCTTAATCAAAATATGTCAGAAAGAACTAGGGTACTTTTTTTTATTGAAACTCAACATTTTTTTTTCTGATTTTGCTTCCTAGTCCTAAATAAAAACTACAGTCTTTATAAATTGAGTCTGAGCCTAACTCGGAGAGTATTGTAACCTAGCTGTTCACTGACGCTTCATCCCAGACAATGAACATGATCTTGAGGACAGTCTCTAAAAGAACTACTTGCTGATCAGGACAGCGTTATTTAATTTCATCTAGAAAGTGAAAACTAGCACAATACTTTTATGTATCAAAGTGCTGAGATCTGTGATGAATTTAAAACTTGATACATTTGCATAAATCCACTTGGCAAAGGGCATACTCATGGTCTTGATATGATGGAGTATTCATAAAAAAGACCTGGAAATTCTCATCATCCAAGGCCACGTCTTACTCCTCTTTGTATTTCCAACATCCAGCTATATATAACTTAAGGTTCAGTACAGGAAAGAGGAAGATGAGGGAAGGAGGAAATGAAATTATATACTAATTAAGCTTTATGGATTTTGAGACTAGAAAAACCTGTACAGACTATCCAGTCCAACAGTCTGAGGAAACTGGGGCCAAGAGAAGTGAAGTGACTAATCTCCATTCATGTGTCTAGTAAATCTCAAAACTGAGATTTGCATCTGAGTAGACAACCTGCTCAGGGAGGGCAAGGGCATGCCCTACTACATCAGGATGAGTACTTCTTTTACCTTCATTCTATTCATGAATAGTGTGTGTGTGTGTGTGTGTGTGTGTGTGTGTGTGTGTGCGCGCGCGCGTAGGGGGAGTGGGATTATTGGTTATACAACAAAAATTGGAGAAAGGTATTTCATTAATTATTGTATATGAGCAAGTCTTAACCAGTTAGTAACAACATGTTAGCCATTCATTGAATATTTAGCTTCTATGTTTGATATACTGCACCAAGTGTTAGGGATAAATAAGGACTGGAGTTGGTATACACCAACTGACAAGAGCCAAATATGTGCATATCTTCTCAACTCTACTCAATGATGTCATACTGACAGCTTCAAACTGGATAGGGTGGGAATATTTTCACCATCAAAATCAACAAAGCTATCATCAGGTCTTTTCTTCCCCTAAGGGCCAACACACCACTGGAGGGCACTAAGAAGCCCATATTTTTCTGTGAGAAATAGAAAAAAATAAAGTAATAAAGCTCTGGGAAGAGGTACTCATTAGGTGTCATGAGCACAAGAGATGAGGCATCTCAACTAGGCTCGGCAATCCTCTTAAATTACAGTTACCAAACAGCTATCATTTATTAGGCACTCCCTACACTCCAGGCACAGTGCTAGGTGTTTTTAAAAGAATAGCTCATAGAATTCTTACAGCCAACCTGAGATGGAGGTATAATTGACTCAGGATTTAAAACTTAAATTTCAGATTTTAAGATCCAGGGTATCCATCATAATACTATACTGAAATAATCAGCTATATAAGAACATCAAGGATATTTAATGTTGAATAACCTTAAATATGTAAAGACATGGGATGTGAACAGGGTTAATGCAGATCAGGCAACATCCAACCAAGAAAACAGAACACAACAACTTAAGCCCCAGCTTTAATATAGGTAGGTAGTTACATAAGTGATGGTCTAACTAAGAAAAGAACAGAGACGCTGAAATCAGCAACACTTTAAGGCAGGTTCCCCAGGCTCAGAGTCTGAGACCGCATTTCTTGAACACCTGGCTATAGACCGTGGTGTCAGGAGAAACCTGGAATGAAAGAAGCAAGCTAGAATTGGGGAAGGGGCCTGGCAAAGAAATCGTTTCAAAAATCTAGCCTCAGCCTGATCCAATGAGAAGCTCTAGACCATGGACTCAACCACAGAAGTTGTCCAGTCCAAAGACAAGGAGGCTGCTCTGCTATACGGTTGTACAGTCATTGGCTATGAGCCACCCCTAGGGAACAGGAGGGGGTAGGGCTGTGAGCTCATACTCTCCCAGACATATTTGGTTGAGGCAATTACTGTCAGCCAAGGGCAGCCCTCTGGAGAAGGGTACAGGTGTGAGTCATTAGCAGCCAATACTCGAAGCAGCTGGGAGATGGATGCACTGGCCCAGTAAAGGAGATCTGGGTAGGATACCAACAGCATCTGCTACAAGCTACATCCAGACATTATCCATATGCTAGAGAACCATCCATAAGCTTGAGGAGCAAAAGTAGCCGCAGCGTTACCTGATGGTAAATGTTTAAAACAACAATAATGCGTGCGTACATGTCTGTACATAAGTTTATCACAAATTTTACTAAAAGATGGGTAGCACACAATTTTATATAATACATACAACATGCTTTACTGTAAATTTTACAGAGCTCATTAATCTCACAAAACACTTTCATTGATTTTGACCAACTTTTGTAATCATAGCCAACCAATAGTTGCAAGTGACCAAGCGCAGTTCCAAAATAAATGTTGGTGGTACTCATAAGTGTTTTTACATGTATTAACTCATTTACTCTTGATCATCTTAAGAGGTAGGTACTGGTATGGATCTCATGTTTTTAATAACAAAACTAAGACATGAAACAGTCACATAATGTGGCCAACACCTAAAATATTTATCTAGGTCTAATGTGATTGAAATAGAAGGTTCATTGACTAGAAAGGTGATAAAACTCAACAAAGAACTCTATTACCACATAAGCCAGGAGGCAGAAGAAAGCAACTTATCAGAATAAAAGGTACCTAAGTGCCTATATATATTAATGCTCAGAGTGGGAACATGTCCAAGAACATTTCCAGACAATTAACTCAATGAATATTTTTAAGTACTATTCTATACAACTTACTGAGCAAGGACCTATAAGAAATATTTAAAACTCCATTATTCCCTTAGATCAAACCCTCAAATTCTTTAAAGTAATAGTTACTACAACAGCGCTGTTAATATATTGTAATAAGTACGGCCATAGCATTAGAGGGATGCAGAGAATCAAGTATAAAGAGAAGAATACTAGTTACACGTTTCAATGGAAATTTTCTATTGGAAACACATGGGACATATTCGAAATCTAACACATGAGGGTCATCTTTTTCAACAAGAAACTATTTCCATCTGCCACATTTAGGAGCTCATAAGACACCAGAAATGGTGAGACAAAATGGACCTAAGTCCAATGACTGTGTTGATGGATGAAACAAACCCAAAGAGAAATGCTGGAATTTCTTTAAATGTTCCTTCTCTGTCATACTATGTGGATGATACATTATTAATGCCAAAGACTCTTTTCTTTAGTCTCCTGCCACACAGCTATCTGTCCAATCTTAGCATGTCTAAAGTTCATCAACAATGGGCTTAGAATCTGAAATTCCAGTTCAGCCTTTTGCACAATGGCTTTGGTCATCAGGGCCAAAACCCAGAGTAGCCCAGGAAACCAGGAATGGGGTGAAGAGCAGTATCAAGTTGATTGGTCCAGCTGAGAGGACCTTAGATGAGCCATCAGATTAAAATGAGAAACTGATAGGTCATTAACCCAGCTGCCAGATGCTCTGAGAAGTGAGCCTAACTGCGAAAATTAGGAACACCGTTTAAGGTCCACATCCCAACATTCCTCACCCACAAACCAAGTTCAAAGGGAGTAACATATACAGGACATCACATCACAAATGGTCTGGGGCCACTCATTTTAATGACTCAATAGTGCATGCTCTTTTTCACTTAAATTGGTATATAAAGAGGTTAAACACCAAACCCAAACCTGGCCTATATTTTGTATTCGGATTAAAAAACAAAGGGTATGCTAACAGTGGAGAGGTTGGGGAGGTGAGGGTGTTACCCAGTGTCTGAATTACCCAACGTCCAATACTGCCTTACTGAAGGCTGTGAGGAGCCCTTGGTATCCTAAGAGTTCACTTGGAAAGTCAATCAACCAGGAGAGCCTGGTTCAAGCTACTACAAGAGGAAAGATAGAAGACAGGAGCATAAAGTGTCTTCATTATACAAGGTTCTTTTGTATGGCACACTATGGACAACTATGGCAACATTCTCCTTTTCATTAATTCCTCTAATGAATGTTTACTGAGCACCTGGCACCATCCCAGGCACTGGGGACACAGTAGCAAACAAAAAAGACAAAAGCTTCCGTCTTCATAGTGCTTACATTCTTTACCAGCAGAGCCAGCCTACCATTATAGAGGCTAAAAATGCCAATTATTTGTTTTCCAAGCTCTCCCTTCCGGCATGGACAGATGACTCAGTTTTGGCAAACTGGGACTCAACACAGGTCTGCTGGGAGCTTCTGGAAGAAATGTATCCCTCAAAAAAAGGGGAGACGCCCAAAGAGAGTGACCTCTCTCTTCTAGTGATCAGATTCCATTAGATAATAACCTTCCCAGCAATCTTGAAGGGGACATACCAACACACTAAGGAGGTCACAACGGGAAGACAGAAGGCCTGGTCCTTGAGAACACCGCTGAGCAGTGGTACCAACCACCTATAAGGACACTTTATTTTGTGAGCATAGTGAATGCCTAATTACTCAGGCCAATTTCAGACTATTTTATTATTTGCAGCCAAAAAGATGCTTAGCTCCCTTAAGTTAAAAGGCTATAAATAGGTTTTTTAAAAGAGTTTTTCTTTGAAAGATGAAACCAGTGAGCTAAACAAACAGGGATACACAGGAGTTAACAATACAAATAGTTGTTCAAAGTTGCCCGATGGAAAATTTGATCTCTAGACCAGTGATGTCTAACTGAACTTTTTGTGATTAAAAAAAAAAAAAAGCCAC